GGCCGGGCGGTCTGCCGTGGGAGCAGACGTCCCCAGAGCTGCTGCCCCCCGAGCTGCGCTTCTGCTTTAACCCTTGCTCGGGCAGAGCGAAGCCCCCGTGCCGAGGGCAGCCACACGGCACCAGCCTGCAGAGCCAAATGGCTGAGAGATATTTTTATGATTTCTAAGAAACGTGCCTGTATAGGACCTACACAAGCTGCGGTGACCTGCCCCTGCCGCCTGCTACTTGTTCTTTATCGAAGCCGTACCAGCAGCGTTAGCAGGAGCAAACCAAAAGCGCCCCTCTGCCGTCCCAGGGGCGAACAGAGAGGAGGCACAAGAAGCTCTCAGAGCATCTTGCCAGCCCATCTGAATCTCTTCGGTACGTCAGCCCCGGTGCCCGTGGTGCAGAGCCAGCCACAGTGTCCACCCTGCGGTGTGCCCTTTGAGAAGTGCTCAGCACGCAGCAGGATCCCGCCCGGTCCTTTTGCCGGCCATTGTACCACGGGAAAATATTATAAAGTCGTGGTCCGTACAGAAAGAAATGTCTGTCTTGAAGTTCGAGTCCCCTGCAATGTCCTTCCCGGGTCAGGTCCAGGCAGGGCTCAGCGCTGAGCAGGGGAGGGTCCGTAGCTTCCCCTGCCTGCCCGGGGTGGAGGGAGCCGGGGGGATTTACTGCCTGTGGATGCGAAGCCACAGCCTCCGTCGCAGACCTGCGGAGAAACAGTGTCTGTCAGCCCCGGGACCTCCTCCTAGCTCCCCATCCTGCCCCCCGGGCTGTCCCGGGCCCTGACACCCCTCATCATCCCCCCGGGGCTGGCAGGGTGCTTACGGTGGAAGCGGTGGGCGATGGGGACCAGACTCAGCAGGAGGACGAGGGCACCAGTGGCCAGTGGGACCCAAACCAGGGGGCTGCAGGCACCTGGAAAGCAGAAGAGGACATAGTGTGGAGCTGCCCCTGCCAGCTCAGCACCCAGCATCATCCTGTCCTGGAACCTCTGGGGGATGGAGCATTGTGTGGGCAAGGGCAAAAAGCAAGGCAGGTCTTCAGGGAAGGGGTGGAGGACACCACCATGGGGTATCCTTTGGAGGATGCATTACACCTGAAGGCATTGCAGGGAACTTTTCTAACAGTCACAGTAACTTCAGTACACTGAAATACATTCTTATAAGCCCTTGTATATCACAGGGAACCCTTCCAAAAGGCAGAGCTCAGCTCCATACAGAGTGGTGGGTCCAGGTAGACCTGGATGCCCATCTCTGCAGGGTCACATTGTGGTTGCCCTCACCTCAGGATAAGCTCCAGGTGAACCTTGGGGACCCCCAGGAGTCCAGCAAACTCCTTCTGCAGGGCAGCCTGAGCTGCCCCAGTGCCGTACCTTCCTTGTCAGCAGCGTTGCTTTTGGTTATGCACCGTGTGGTTTTTTTTTTGGAGAGTGATGTCTCAGTGGTCTTCAGAGGCAAAGGCAGAACATCAGCTGGTGGATAAGGAGGAAAAGAGTACGGTCAGTACAGCACAAAGTGCAGTGGCAACCTGAAACAAGAGGCAAGAAGGGCTGGAAATTTTAGCTTTTAAGACTAACCCAAACCAGGAACCCCTGCAAAGGGCTAGGTTATCTGGAGGGGCCGGGAGCTTGACCTGAACCTCTCAGTGGCCACAGGAGTTACTAAAAGCTTGTAAAAGCATTAATAAAACAATGTACCAGGCAAGCATGGGTGGTAAACTGAGGTAGAGAAAAAGGAAACTTCCTTGAGCTACATTTGCTACCAGCCACTGTCTCATCAGCGTTGCACAAAACCAGGGGTAGCAGGAGATTTCAGTAGCACTGAGAGTTTTATAGGATCTCTGGCTCTTTTCTGTATTCAGATTGCTCTAACGTTTCCTCAAAATTGGATTTTCTTTTTTTCTCATAAAATGAGGGCAGGATTTATTATGGTATATCTGAATTACAATAGAGTGTATTGATCTCTCTCTAGTCAGTCAGGCAACTATCCCAGTAATGTCATTAAATAGCTGTACTTCTGGCCACACAAACACCATTTATTAAAAATTTTCAGTGATTCAGAAGTATTTTTTTTTCTGCTTCTATCTGAGACTGAATTTCCCGTGGAAAACACAGTTCTTTCACATGGGAAGTTGAGTCGTCAAGTGCCTGAGATATATCTGGACAGCTTCTCCCTGATGTTATGATAGACTTAAAGACAAGGAAAATAAAGACAATTTATTTTATCATGTGTACTAAAGGGAAAAAGGAAAATATCCAGCAAGGCCAAAGTCCTCCCAGAGCACCTGCTGATGTCTGGTTTTTAATTAGACCGTCCTTGATCATGTTGAATTTCAGTCCTGTTTTTCATGCTTTGCTTTGCACATAGATATGTGCCCAGTTGATTAAAACCCAGTTCTCCTTTATCTTAAACAAGCTTTTCTTTGAGCCAGCAGG